TGACCTCTGACCCTTGGCCCTGATGATGCAGGTGTGTGAGGACATGAGTGACCTCTGACCCCTGGTCCTTATGATGCAGGTGTGTGAGGACAGAACAGCTGCTGGCTGGTCTTCAGTCTAGCCTCCTTGTTTTGTTTGGTTCTGACTTTTTGTTTTTTGGGAACATCTTCAGAAGTTTCATCACGGTGTGTTCAATGTTGATGCTCAGAGTCTGTAAAAAGACAGTAAAGCCATAAATTAACTCTTCAGATGTTTGTTTCTCTTCAGTTTTTGTTCTTTTTTTTAATCAAATGTTTTGGCAGTGAATATAAGGCGAGGCAGCTGAGGTGTTGCTACGAGCCACATTTATTTATTTATTTTCATAGTTTCTGTTTCCCGCAGCATCAAAACATTCGCAGGGTGTGTATTATTGTCGCAATAAGTCTTACTGAGGCGCGGCGACAAAAGATAAATGCAAGTATTCTTTATTCTTTGAGGGTTTCCATAAGTTTGAGCTGTATAAATGTAGTGGATGAGGACTGACGAGTGTTTTGAGTTTCTGAATGAAAGTTTGAGACAGTCGGGCTGGGAGGTCACAGTGAAACCAGGACTGAACGGTCCAGACTAAAGACTGGAGCTGCTGTAAAACTGATGAGGAGATAAATCAGGATTTACATGAAATAATTAGTTCTTCACAAACTGCACCCTAGACTTAATGTTCTGATCTGCTTGGAGCTCCTCTGGTTGGACATGTTTCAGTCGGACCACCGATTCCCCGGTCACTCCATTTATCCGAGTAAAGCCGACCTGACAGCCGAGGCCTAATGCTTCGCAGGGTTCTGGTTAACGATGCCGGGGGCTGACGGTCGACTGGTTCTGACAGGAAGAGACGTTTGGTCGTTGTTGAAGCGGAGGAAAGGACGCGGCTCCGATCCGCAGTTGGACGCTTCTTCAGCTCGTCTCCTGAATCCACTCGGACTTTAAATCAGAGTTTAGTCACGAATAACGACGGAGACGTGAGGTAACCGGCCAAGAACTGAAAAAATAAATATTAACGTTTCAAATAAACCTCCACAACGTCTGACTTTATTTCTCCTGAATATTCCAAAAGTTTAGACCCATAAATCCACGATAAATTACGAGTTTAAGGTCATTATTTAAACCTGTTTTTATCTGCTGAGTTCTCCACAAATGATCTGAACTGTCCCTTTAATCTCACATGGTGGTGGAAGTTCGGTGCTTCTCAGACAGAACCAGAACCAGAGCAGGTTGAAGAACTGTCCGAATGCAAACCTTAGACCAAAGGTGAATCAAACCCGAGTCGAGCTGCTGCTCTACTTCCTGTTTGAGTTTAAAGTGACATTCTGTCAATCATAGGGGTCGGGTCCACCTGACCTGGGTCGGCACTTCCATTTGGACCAGCTGGAGCTGCTCGATGGCCTTTGAACTTTATGTTAAATTTAGACTAAATGATAAAAACGTGTTTTTATGATAAATACCTCAGACAGCAGAGTTGTTGTTTTACACAACACGCCAGTGAAATAAACCCCGATATTAAAAATGACTGAAACAATCAACAAATGAGACTTTTCTTGTGTCACTTCCTGTTTTGTTCAGGTGTCCGCGAACAGAACACTTTAATTTAATGTCAAAAAGAGCAGAAATTTAATCAATAAATCTAGAAAATTCAGTTTTAAAGGCTGAAATTCAGAAATATGTGCTTCCGTTTGTGTGAAAACGCTGAAGGCAGCGAGTTTCAATCAGTTTGAATCTTTATTAGGCCTAACAATAAAACCGTGGAGATTTAAATCGGGTCATCCTGAGCGTCAAACGGGACAGATCAGGTAGTCTGTGAGCCGTCCTCATCCTCTGCCTCCGCAGGGACGACCGGAGTTACAGAGACGATGGACTGCCCTGGTTCTGATCCGTTTTATTTAGCTGCTCGACCCAAATCCACCAGCAGACTGAAGAAAAGACTCTTTCTCAGCTTTAGATTCATAAAATAACCAAAACATGACGATCTGTTTAGCTTTGAGTCCGAGATGTTTAGTTTGTATTACGTGTTTATTTTGTTGATTTATTTTAATTTCTATTTTACATCTTTTTGAAACAGCTTTTGCTGCAGTATGAAGATCAGCCTGCAGGGGGCAGCACTTCTATGTGTTCTGCTGAAAAAGACTTTTATAAAGCAGCAAAATGAGGCTTTATTCTGAAATATTACCACAAAATAACACAAACCCTGACCTACCAAGAGAAGAAATTTAAAATTTCTTGACTGGCTATTACACATTTTTAAGTTTTACTTTATGTTTTAGTTTTTGTTTAAGAACTGTTTTTAATTGGTTGTTAATATTAAATTGAACTGACTCCATTTAAACCTGGAAAATATTTTAATAAGTTCCTGATAAATAAAACCATTAGAATTTGTTTTATATTTATTATTGATTTTAATTATGGTAACAATGTGTTTAAATGTGTTCAACATTTATTTACAAAAGAGGGAGGAACAGAGTGACCTGTAAGAGTGGAGGAAGGAGTACGCAGGTCGACTACATTCTGTGTAGAAGAGGAATCCTGAGGGAGACTGGGGACTGTAAGGTTGTGGCGGGGGAGAGCATGGCCAGAAAGTATCGGATGGTTGTGTGTAGAATGACTGTCGTTGTGAAGAAGAGAGTAAAATCAGAGATGAAGAACAAATGGTGGAAGATAAAGAAGGAAGAATGGTCTGAGAAATATCGAGAGGAGCAGTTAAAGGCTCTGGGTGGTAAGAAAGAGCTTCCAGGTGACTGAGCTACTCCGTTCGTTCATCCAGACAGTAATGAAGTCAGGTTGCGGGAGCAGCAGCCTGAGCAGCGAGGTCCAGACTTCTCTTTCCACAGCCACCTCTTCCAGCTCTTCTGGGAGGACCCCAAGCTGTCCCAGACCAGCTGAGAGACTCTCCAGCGTGTCCTGGGTCTTTCCCGGGATCTCCTCCCAGTCGGCCATGCCCCAAGTACCTCCCTAGCAAGGGTCCATCCTTTCCTGTTGCTCGAACCACCTCAACTAGTTTCTTTCGATGTGGAGGAGCAGCGGTTCTACTCTGAGTCTCTCCTTGATAACTGAACTTCTCACCCTATCTCTAATAGAGAGTCCAGCTATCCTGCATCCTCATTTCAACCGCGTGTATCCGTGATCTTGTTTTTTCGGTCACTACCCAGGATTCGTGACCATAAGTGAGGGTAGGAAGGTAGACTGACTGGGACTGAGCTTCTCCTTACAGCTCAGCTCCTTCTTCACCACAACGGACTGGCACAGAGTCCACAATACTGCAGACGCTGTACCACTCCGTCTGTCAATCTCACGCTCCATTCTTGTCTCACTTGTGGACAAACCCCCGAGATACTTGAACTCTTCCACTTGAGGCAGAACCTCACCATCAACCTGAAGAGAGCAATCCACCCTTTTCCGACTGAGGACCATGGCCTCGGATTTGGAGGTGCTCCTCTTCATCCCAGTTGCTTACTTGACTGTGAACCGCTCCAGTGAGAGCTGAAGATCACGGCACGATGATGCCAACAGGACCACATCAGAGATGGAATCCTGAGATCAAAGAACCGGAATCGCTCTGCCCCCTGGCTGCACCAAGAAATTCTGCCCATTAAAGTTATGAACAGAATCAGTGCAGCCCTGGTGGAGACCAACTCCCACCCTGAAGGGGTCCGACTTACTACTGGCAATATGAACCAAACTCTCACACCAATTGTATAGAGACGGAGCAGCCCGTAGCACCGGGACCCCAATTCCATACTCGCGGAGCATCTTCCACAGTGTCACTCAAGGAACACGGTCTAAAGCCTTCTCCAAGTCCACAAAACACATGTAGACTGGATGGGCAAACTTCGATGACCCCTCGAGGACCCTAGTGAGGGTAAAGAGCTGGTCCAGTGTTCAGGTTGTATCTCTGAACACTGGACCAGCTCTGTTCTGTTTTGTTTCTGGACAGGGGTGTCACACCAGGTACTGAAAGCAAAGGTCACATACTTTTCCATCTCACAGATATGTAACATTGGACCATTTTCCACAATAAATAAATAAATAAATAACCAAGTGTGATATTTTTGTCTCATTTGTTTAACTGGGTTCTCTTTACTTTTAGGACTTGAGTAAAAATCTGAAGATGTTTGGGGTCAAATTTATACAGAAATATAGAAAATTATAAAGAGTTCACAAACTTTAAAGCACCACTGCATGTTGTTTGGTCTGGAGACAGAGACGTGGACAAAAAGACAAACAAAACTGGAAGTGTCAGAAATGAAGATGTTGAGGTTCTCCTTCGGAGTGACAAGGATGGATGAGCTTAGGAATGAGATCATCAGAGGTACAGCACAGGTTGAACAACTGGGAGATAAAGAGGCCAGACTGAGATGGTTTGGACATGTCCAGAGGAGGGACGGTGGTTTGGACATGTCCAGAGGAGGGACGGTGGTTTGGACATAGATTGTTACATTGTGTAAAAAAGTTCTGCTGTTTTTGAACTCATACTGGATGATTTTTTTCTTCTTCCTGCAGCCTGTGAGGCATTTTTTTATCTTCTGAAGCCTGAAGACGTAGAGCCTTCACCCTGAGGAGCCTTCACCCTGAGGAGCCTTCACCCTGAGGAGCCGTCACCCTGAGGATCCCTGAAACCAGTCCAGGAATCCTTTCTGCTCAGTCAGCTGACTGATGTGAAGAACAGGCAGAACTTCTCCATGGAGAACGGTTAGGAGGTTCTGTTGGACCTGGAATAAAAAGGATTGAAGATTATAAACTTTAAATTTTCTTTAGCTTAAAGACGAAGAAGTTCTGACCTCCGGACGCAGAGATGAGTGTTTGTGACCCAAACAAGAGTTTCTCTGTGAGGAGCATGAAGCTTCCTCTTCATCGCTCTGGAGACCACAATGGGAACGCTTTCCCCATCTCCTCCTCCTCCTCGTCTTCGTCCTCGTCCTGCCTGGGGGAGTCCTCTCCGGAGTCTCTGCAGAGTCTGAGCGGGGGCCCGCTGGACTACAACCTGCTGGAGGCCACCTTCATGACCTCGGTGATGAAAACGGAGAAGACTGTGGACGTGGTGCTCTCCACATGGCAACCGGAGGGGGTGGGGCTTGATGATGAAGATGAAGATGTTCCAGTGGGAAACACTAAGTCCAGTGACAACTCTGTGTCGGTTTACCTGGATGCCAACACGTGGAGTGACGACGTCACGCTGTCCTTGAACACAAACAGTGGTTGCCGTGGCAACAGTGAGGATGAAAGCAGCGGGAGGGGGTGTGGCTCCCCCACCCCAGACTCTGACGCCACAGAGATTCCTGATGATGATGGTGAGGAGGCTCTGTTCCTCTCTGTGAGCTCTGAAATGTGTGTAACGTTCAGACAGGTAAATCCAGGTGGGTCTGCTGAGGGGGCGGAGCTTAAGAAACACGAGCCCACCGCTCTGAGAGGAGCTGAATATGAGGGTCCACAGCCGGGGCCTGAAGAACTGCAAATCTGCTCTCCTGTGGATGCTCCTCCTGGTTCACAAGAGGTTCTCAGGTCATCTTCTCCATCCAACAGTCCAGTCACATCTACTCCTCCTCCTCTGCCTCCTCCACCTCCTGCTGAGGAACCAGAAACGCATGGAACCCAAACAGCAGCAAAAACTGAACCGGTCTGTGTGAAAACATTCAACCTGGAATCAAAGAAAGTTCCCAAACTGGACGTTAAACCCATGAGGAATAAAACTGGGTCAGGGACCAACAGGTCTCCATCTAAAACTCCTCGTCAGGTACTGGAGTTCTGTTGAAGATTTTCATCAGAAGCTCCTCAAACACCCTGTAACATTTAAACTCTGTTTTCTTCTCAGCAGAACAAACCAGCTCCCGTTGGAGGAAAGACACCCGTTCCCAGGAAGGAGGATGGTAGCGTGAATCGGAAACCACCTGCAGGTCCGGTCAAAATGGCAGTCGTCTTAAAATCCAGCAGAGGAAAGAATCTGAATCTAAATCTAAAGTCCAGATACATGACGGTGGCACCATCTAACCCTGATGGCCCTGATGGTAAAAAAGTAGCAGTTAGTAGAACTGTTTCAGTTCGCTCTCATGGGTCTAAGGGAGGAGGAACCCTGAAGGATGACCAGGATGTGCCTGATGGCGTGGAGGCAAAACGTCCCAGTGAAGGAACTGCACCAGATGAAGAGGAGCAAAGGAGAAAGGCTTCAATGATGAGACCATCTGAGCAGAAACCACAAAGTCCTGTCTGGGTGAGAACCTGCATGAACACCATGTCTAAGGTCTTGTAATGATGATAATATAATGATTAATATCATTATAGACTATATATATATTGTCATATGATATGATGATTTATAATGATAATCTTATGATGGCCAAATATTTTGGGTACAAACTTAAAAGCCAACATTAACAAACCTACACAATATCTCATGCAAATCTAAAGCTAACTCTTGCTAACCTAGAGTCCAACTGTTGTGAACTGTTGGAGAAAAATACTCTCTCAACTTATTTAAATAAAAGGACCACACTCGATGGCAGGAGAGGATTTTTAACTGGTATTTACTTGCAAGGTCAGATTTTGAGGACAGGTTCCACAATCACGAGAATCTGCCATGATCTGTGTGCACAGCTTGTTTTTATACTCCTGTCAGTTCTGATGAACTCGCAGACTAGGAGGCATCCTTAAAGGGACACCTGCACTCAGCCGCCTCACCCAGCTCCTCATTCAGCTTTCTACTAACCTAAACATATGATTCATGGTCAGAGTTAACATTCTAAGCCATAGTAGTTAAAAACATCCATAACCTTTGACCAAAAGTTCCCTAACACAAACCTAGACTCCAACTCTTGCGGACCTAGGGTCCAACTCTTGCGGACCTAGGGTCCAACTCTTGCGGACCTAGGGCCCAACTCTTGCGGACCTAGGGCCCAACTCTTGCGGACCTAGGGCCCAACACTGGCGGACCTAGAGTCCAACACTGGCGGACCTAGAGTCCAACACTGGCGGACCTAGAGTCCAACCCCGGCGGAAGTCCAACCCCGGCGGAAGTCCAACCCCGGTGGACCTAGACTCCAACACTGGTGGAAGTCCGACTCCGGTGGACCTAGAGGCCAACAGTCGTGAAGATACTAGATACTAACCCTAGCCCACCTTGAAGCTTACGTCAGGGAGCATGACCCCGGTGAACCTAGAACTTCAGCAAAACGGGTAAAGATCAAATTTTGCTGGAACACTTTTGTTCCCTTCTTGTATGTGTACAAGTAGTCTTTGTAAAACCCTGATTCATGCTGCTGCTTCTCTACGGGATCTTTTAATTTTCTCTTAAAATAAATTTTGATCATGAACCATTTTGTCAGCTTTGATGTTTGCCGGAGATGTTTTAGCTTTATAAATCAGCAGGAACAATCTTCAGAAGTTACGGACCAAATAGGTTGTTTGAAAGTTTGAACAAACTGCAGAGGACAAGCGTCTCTTACTGAGTCTGTTGAATGGCTGAAGGAGAGGAAACTGCCCCACCGGTGGCAGTGTGAGGACGCTGACCTCTGACCTGTGGTCTGTTTGGACTTTATTAACCTTCGTCTGTAGACTGGAGTAAATCGGTGAACTTTTCCAGCGTCACAGTTAGAAACTCAAGCCTGAGGTGTGCACAATTTGAAATGAGGGAGTGGTTCAGAAGCGTGTTTCGTCTCTGGTATGTTTTTTAAAAATCCAGCTTTCAGACCTGCCCCAGCGCATTCCCTCATAGGCCGCCTCAGGGCTTTGAACCAGAACGACGGAGCAGCGCCATTAACCCGTCAGGTCCTGATCCAGTTCTGATCCGGCCCTCAGTTCTTTCTACTTTCTCCCAGTGATCAGACTCTACGGTACTCAAAGTGATCCGGATCAACAGATCTCCAGAGACTTTCTGGAGGTCTTTTTCACTCCTTAAACGCTTCATTTGACACATTCTCCCAGTTTAAGGAAACGGTCGTTGGAGAAGAAGAATAAAAACTTTCCTCGTTAGATGAACAGAATCTAAAAATCTTTGACGAAGCAGGAAAACGAATCGAAGACCTGCAGACTCAATCGACCGTAAGATGTTTTCACCCAGACCTGAGGAACCGTAGATCCAAACCACTTGACCAGATTCCAGGAGTGTTTGGATCGTTGGGAGGAAATGAAGGAACGAGTTTCGCCCGCTTCGTTCACGGCAGCGTTCAAAACCGTTTGATGTTCAGAAACTACGGAGCTGAATCTGTTTTTGGTCAAAACGTGGAAATAACAAGCGTCTGTTGTGGCGTTGGGAGGTCTCGCTTGATTATTGGGTGCTAATAAGGATGACTCTCGGCTACTACCACTTCAAATCTCTGCTCGGTGTTGGTGGAGTCGGCGGAGTAACGGCTATTTTTGTGCTTATTAAACCACGGCAGCCATCTTGAACCAGCTGACACCAAAGTTGTAGATGATCGATTATTACTTCCTGGGGTCTTCATTGAAATCTATCATGTGGTTCATAAGATATTTTGCTAACAGACACACTGAGAGAGGCTTATACATTACTGGCCACTGCAGACTCATGACAGACAGCTGGACCTGGACTTATGGGTCCGGTTGTAACCTGAGGCTCTGTCCCACAAAAATGTCTTTTAGTTTTTGAACAAAAGTCTGAGAACGAGTCCGTGCAGAGTGACTCACGCCTGAGAGACACAAACCAGACCTCGGTCCACAAACCCCCCTCATGTATTTATAGAGGGGGGAGGAGGTCTGGGGGAGGACTGCTCAGAACCAGGTCTCTCGAGGGGAATGTTCCGTAAAAAAACTTTTTCTCTTTTCTTGAGGCGGCAGCACACTCCCAGTTTTCCCTCCTTTGTTTTCTCCTCCCCCTTAGTCCTACCTCCTCCAGCCCTCCCTTCTCCTCCCCCCTCACTTTTTCCTCTCCTCCCTCGTTCTGGTTCTGACTCGGATCGGGGCTCAGGCCATGGTGTCGCTGCGCAGCTCCGAGCTCCGGCCCTTCGGCTGGGACCCTGTCACTAAACACCAGCTCCTCCTGCAGAGAGCCTCATCCAGGATCGGACCTGGGGCCAGGCAGCAGGACCGGACCTCCAGGTTTCCTCCAGGACCCAGGACCGGACCTCCAGAACCAGAGGGAGGAGCTGCACAGAGTTCTGCTGAAGAAACCAGAACGAGACGGGACCAGAACCAGAACCAGGGTGAGTCAACGCACAGCTCTGTGTGTGTGTGTGTGTGTGTGCGTGTGTCTGGTCCAGAAGGTGGTCCCCCCACACCCACCTCAGAACCCTCTGCTGTGTTTTCCACCCTGACAGGCGTGATCCGTTAGTGAAGTTTGTGTCTGGCTGCAGAGGAAGTGGAGTTTCTTCTTCTGTGGTTTTCTGTTCAGGCACTTCCTGTCATGTCTGTCGGTAAAGCTCTCCTCTCTGCTGCGGGTCGGGCCTGCAGGGTTCTGCAGCTGCAGCGGGTCATATTGTGGGTCAGCCTGTGGGTTGAAGCCGGTCTTTGTCCTCAAAGGTCACATTCTGGGGGACAGAAGCCAGTCTGTCCTCTTGTACGATGATTCTGGGACAACTGGACGCCTTCTGACCTCAGAGACGTCCTTCAATGAGTTTCTGTGATTTATTTATTTATTTTCAGACTTACAGATTTTTATCCTAAGCATCAGAACAGATTCTGAACTGATCTGGACCTCATCAGGTTCTAAATGATCCAGGTCCGGTCTCAGGGGGACGCAGCAGGTACCACCGAGTCGTTATTCGTCAAACAGAAACAAAACATTAGAACCAGACCAGAGGACAGATGTTTACCCAGAATGCACTGCAGTAAACGGCTCCTCCCAGCTGTCAGCGCGGTGGTGGAGGGCTGATGGTTTGGACTCCTGCCGTTCACTGAGTGGACCAGAACTCCCCTGTAGACCAAAGGGTTCTGGAGTCCAACAGCTGAAGCTTGGATCAAACTGCGTCCAACAGGACCCTGATCCAGAACAGAACGGGTCAGAAAGAACAGAACCTGAACCTGAATGAGATGCTGCGGTGGATCTTCAGAGTGCTCAGCAGAACCCTCAGTGATGAAAAGAGGAGTTGACCAGAACTCCTCCAGAACCAGGAGAGAGACTGATGAAGTCCTACAGAGAACCACTGAGGGTTCTGCTGCTGTTGGAGGTTCTGGATCAGGACTGGAACCAGTTCTTCCCACACAGTGTTGACTGTGATTCTCTAGAACCTGTCCAGAACCCGTCCCCTGCCCTTCGCCAGTCTGTGGGCAGAATGTGGTTTGACATAGTCCTGGTGACAAATCCTCTGTCCCTGCAGAAGACGAGGTCCTCGAAGACAGCTGAGTCTCTGAGGTTTGACACCAGAGGACAACCAGAGGGACGTGTGTCCAAACTGTTTGTTGTTGTTTAACTCGCACCTTCAGTCTGATCTGTGAGGAAACACGATCCAGCTGCTGGTCCCCCTAACAAACACAGCCAGATGTTTCCTGCTGTGTGTGTGTGTGTTTAAACTCCAGAGAAAGTTTGTTTGAAGGTTTCCATGTGTACGGTGGCCCTGAGAGGACAGTAAATATTCTTAATGTCAGCTGTCTTTAAGTTTTGTTCCTTTTTCTTTAATCTTTTTTTTTTTCCTGAAGTTTTTCTCTTTCATGTATTTGTATTTGTGTTGAAGTGTTGTCTTGTTGAATGTTGTAGTTTTTGTCTTATCTTTGGTTTTGCGTGATGCTGAGTGTTTTGTCCCTCAGGGCCACCGTAGATTACAGCACAGCAGTAAAGAACAATAAACAGTTTTTATACTTTAGAGCTAAAAAATGTGACATAATTTGATTTAATGAGCAGTTTCTGTTCAGAGAAGATTCTAGAGGTTCAGGTCGTTCTTTATTAATTCAGGATCTGTAATAATTGTTCAGTTTAAGAGAAATTGCGATTAAACTAAAACAAATGTTACAGTCAGTCTCTGTTCTTTTAGATTTTCTCATTTTTAGATAAAGTTAAAAAATAAAAATCACTCCAATAGTTAAACTTTACGTCTTTTTAAAACTTCAAGCCTTCATATTCACTGTTTATTGTACTGGTGAGGAGGAGCAGCAGGAGGAGAAAGAGGAGGAGTCTCAGGTTCTGCTCGTCTTGGGTTTTGGACAGATGTGTGACTCGGTCCACAGAGACCATGGGTCTGAGTGCAGCGTCACGTTTTTGTTTAACATCAGACTCAAATCTTCAAAGTTCTGCTTCCATCGTTTAAATAAAAACCGTTTCCAGTAATTAACCTTTGACCTCAGCCCACCTCACTGTGTGAAACCAAACAAACCAGAAACTCTTGGTTAGTTTCAAGCTTGATTTATTTGGAAATATCCCGTCTGTCCCAGCGTGATAACTTTTCTGTTGCAATAATCGTGACCATTTCTACCGTCATACCTTTCTTAGATGCAGGTTGGAATTTTTAATTAATTTTATTGTTTAATTTTTAAGATCTCAACATTCATGGACGGACAGACTGATGGTATTTCCTCTTCTTCGCTGCATGACGGGATAAAAACAATAAAACATAAAACCTTCAGTTCTTCCTGTCACGCTTCTGAGTGAAGACGTTCAGAGGGAATCCCTGAACTGAGACAAAGACCAGAGTTCTTCAGGTTCTTTGTTCTTCTGTTCTTTATGTTCTTCATGTTCTTCAGATTCTGCTTCCAGACATGCAGCAGAACCACAGCTGGTCACTTTTATCACAAGTCTTCTATTTATTCATAAAATACAAATATTTTACCAGTTTCACTTCCTCCTGTCCCAGGTGTCTTCAAACCCCGCACCAACGCAGAACGACCCTCCGCCGGCGTCCAGAGCCCAACGGCGTCCGTTCCCAAAGCGTCAGCCAATCAGGCGTCAGCAGGACGACCTGCCGGCTCCAGACTTCCTGTTAAAGCTTCACCTGTGAGCCCGAGCACCTCGTCTCCAGGAAGCAACGAGAACGACACAGCCAGCAAAGGTTTGTTGTTGTTTACCTCTCCCTGATGACGTCACTTCCTGTCTCCTGCTGGATGGAGTGTTCAGGACGATCAGGACGGTGACTCTGTCCTCAGCAGTTGTCCTGCGCAGAGATCAATTCAATTCAGTTTATTTATAAAGCGCCAATTCACAACAAAGTTGTCTCGGGGCACTTTACAGGAACATTCTCATACATAGAAAAGACAATTAGTAAAGTTCTCTAAGGAAGTAGCAGACACGTTGAATCTTCACTTCATCGCAGTCTCCCATCCTGAGCAAGAACAGTGGCAACAGTGGAAAGGAAAAACTCCCTTTTAACAGGAAGACACCTCCAGCAGAACCAGGCTCAGGACAAGCGGCCATCTGCTTTGACCGGCTGGTTTGAGAGGATAGGAAGGAGAGACAGACGAACACAGAATTGTAGGTCCAGGTGTATCTGAAAGACAAAAAAACACATGTTGAGGATAGAAAAATAATCACAAATACAAAACAGGTTGAGCAGAGTAAATAAAGACAGTAGCAGAGTGAAACGATGTGGTCAGTTTGTCCTCCAGCAGTCTCAGCCTATAGCAGCATAACTAAGGGAAATCTCAGGAAACCCAAGCCAACCCTAACTGTAGGATTTAGCAAAAAGGAAAGACTTAAGTCCAGTCTTAAAACTGGACAAAGTGTCAGCCTCACGGACAGAAGCTGGAAGTTTCAAAGGTCAAAGGTCACTTCAGGTCATGTGTTCAGTGTTGTTGCAGTTTTACTTTACTCATGTCAGAATATTAACTCATCGTTCTTTAATTGTTTCAATTTAAATAAATTCAGCTTCAGATCAAAGTAACTTAATTTGTCCTGAAACCTGAATCAAACTGTGAAAAAACTGGTTCCAGTCCAGATCCAGGAGCTCCTCCAGCAGCAGAACCCTCGGTGGTTTTCTGTAGGACTTCCATCAGTCTCTCTCCTGGTTCAGGAGAAGTTTTGGTCCACTCAGTGACTGACAGGAGCCAAAACCACAACCACCGTACTGACAGCTGGGAGGAGCTGTCTGCTGCAGTGCATTCTGGGTAATCATCTATCTTCTGGTCTGGTTCTGGTCCAGAAGTATTTTGGTTTCTTCAGATGAATCTAAGTCGATCTGCCATGTTGTTTTTAGAGAGGAGAGGCCACGACCTTTGACCTGCTGACTGAGGCCTGTAGAGTCACTGCACGGTCTGACCTTCAGGGTGGATCAGCTGTCTGAAATGTTCTCTTGTGAATTAGACGTGAAGATCTTTAGTTTCAAGTTATTTTGTTGTTTTAAGTGTTTGCAGCTCCAAACGCCTCACTGTCACTCCTCGGTCCGAAGCTCTCATCCTCTGTTGTCATGGTGACCAGATTACAGCTGAGCTCGCCTGTTTCCACAGCTGAAGTAATATCATCTGTAATCACCATGAAAGATGGGTGGTTATGTAACTGCCTGTGCCAGTGTGTGTCTGTTAGCAAAATATCTAATGAACCAGAATTTGATCAAACTACTGCGTCTGTGACCGAGTCGACCTGGTTCAAGTTGTCCGCTAACCCACTTTAGGAAGTGCCAAAAGGCTAAAGCTCGGTTTCACAGATAATGAGCTAAACTTTAGCCTGGTTGTAGCTGAGAGTCATCTGAAAACGTAACAGCGTGTAAGTTTGTTCAAAGCTTCGGCGTGTGCAAAATGGAAACGCTTGTTTGCTGTCGTCAGATTAATGAGATTAAGGCTTACATCTGAATGTCTGCTCTCAGGATTGACATGTCTCTGTCTTCGTCCCTCCTGCAGCTGGTCCTGTAGCTCCGACAGAGCTGAAGCCCGATGAGCGTCCCAGCAGAGACTCGAGCACCATCAGACCCCGCAGCTGTGACCCCCCAGCCACCTGCAGCAGTGACTCCCGTCCCGCTCCGAGGCCTCCGGCTGTGAGGAGCCGGGCTCCGTCCCTGCAGGCCAGGACATCTGCTGCAGGTGACCCGTCAGGTCCACAGAGTCTCTGGTTCTGGTGCCATCAGCTGGTTTAGATGCTGATGAAACGATCATTGTAATCGTTTAACATGCAGGACTAATCTCTAGAACTGTTGTTTTAATCCGTTTTCATCTACAACTGTTTTTTAAACATTGTTTCTGAAAGCCCCGACCCAAACTTTGAGAACCACTGATCCAGAAGAACATCTGCAGATGCTGCCATGACGATCCTCTGACGGGTTTTTATCAAATCTGACTCCAGATGTGAATAAGTCATCAGGGATTTAGCTCCTGCTGATGTCATGATTCTGACTGCAGGTCGCGTTTACAGACCTGGACTCTGAAGGAGACAGATGTTTGGATCCTGACTGGGTCAGGTTCTGGGTAGAACATGTGGTCCTGAGGGGCGGGATGAATAAACGGAACCGCTCCTGCAGATGTGAAACACTCAGGACTCGTCAGAATCAAACCAACGTCTACTTTTGACTGGTTTACCTTAATGACAGCAGATTTCAGAGTGACTCGGCGTAACGCCTGAAACCACCTGAACTATGACTCAGCAGATTTCAGGGCGACTTGGCCTGACGCCTGAAACCACCTGAACTATGACTCAGCAGATTTCAGGGCGACTTGGCCTGACGCCTGGGACTTACTGAGGTTTGAAAGTTTTCTGAGCGGTGAGTGAAGACAAACAGGAAGTGATGGTGTTTGTTTCCTGCGCTGGTTCTGCAGGCCTGAAGTCTCCGACCATCTCCAGCCACATCACATCAAAGGCAGCTGTCAATCAACAATCTGCGAAGGCATCGTCTGGAGCCGGACCGGGTTTATCGAAGCAGACCGTTCCACTGCAGAGACAAGGCTCAACCAGAAACAGCCGACTGAACAGCTCAGGTAAACCTGACGGGTGATAAAAACATCATCAGGGAGTCCCTCTGAAGGAGGTTTCTGTCTTCTGTCACTAAAACATCCGTTTAACTTTACTCTCTGGACTCTGATGGGGTTTTATTTGTTCACTTCAGTCTAAAGTTTTTTACATCAGCGGGAGCAGCTGTTGCTGCTTCAGAGTTAAAAATACCTTTTATGACGGTTCTGATATAAAAGGCGGGAATCAACATGACAACCAGCCATGATGTGACTCAGCAGATACTGGGTCAGCGTTTTTTCCTCCAAACAGGAAGTGAACGTCATATCACCTCCGTCAAACCCTGTAGAACCATCAAACAGAACCTGTGGTACCATCAGAACCTTCTGCTGCTCACAGGTTTATTAATTTGACTTCTAGTCTTCAGACACAGACTGTTTGTCTCAGGCTTACTTTTTACTACGTAGTTCTGCCTGCCTTATAATGTGCTGCCCCTCCCCCTTCTGCTCACCATAAAAGTTGGGAATCACCATGACAACCAGTGACTCAGCAGATTTGATATCAGTGAATCGTTGTTGTTGTTTTTGTCCTTTTTATAATTCAGTCGGTTTTGGCCTGATTATAACTTTAAAGTTAAGTGAAAATGAATAAAAGCTATTCCAGAATTTAAGTTAAAAACACTTAAAACAAACAGAAAGAGGCATTACTCTGAACTTTCAAAATTAAACTTAAATCTTCTTTCAAAATAAGAGTTCTGTCAAAGCTCAGATTTTATGTTTTGGTAAATAAGTCCCAGATTCCTGTTGGATTTAGTAAAAGTAGGTTGTTGAGCTGCAGTGATCTTCAACATTTCTATATTTTATTTATTTAAACATTAAATCAAATCACTCAGATTTATAGAAGCTACTTTCATATTTTATTTTATTTTATTCCAACATGAATTTATTCTTGTCTCATGTTGTTGAGATAAAGTCACCTCAATGCTTTTTAAATTTATGACTTTATTCCAGATTTCATCAGTTTCAGTTTTAAGTAGGAAGTCAGGAGAACAGATGCTGGTTCTCTGAACCGGTTCTTGTGAGTCCGACTCTGGTTGTGGTTTTCTACCCCTCCATCTGGGTTCTCTAGTCTGGATCGGGGCGCCCGCCTGCCTGTCCTCTGTATGGAACCAGTACTCCTTCACACACATGTTGAACACACACGTGTCGGACGCGGTGGTGTGGCGGTGACACCAGCAGCCCTCAGGCGTCCGCGGTTTCAGTCGGAGCTCTCTGTGGTTTTCTGAGGTTCTTGGTGTTCCCATTGAATCAGGTCTTTGTTGAAGCCGTTTGACCCAGAAGGTTCTGGATTAATTACCCAGAACTTTCTGTGTCTGGTCTTCTTCTGCTGTTTGAAGTCTGAACTTCATATTTCTCCTGACGCGTTTCATTTTCTGCAGGAGCTCGAACAGAAGCAGTTTATGTAAAACTCTCAGGAGGAGTTGCGCGGTGCCGCCATGTGGGGGCGACGCTGAGCAGCTGAAAACTTTGAGGAAAACGCTCTTCAGAGGGTCAGTTTCTGTGTTTGTGTGTTTCGAGGCCATTTGGAGCCCAGAAATGGCCATGAAATCTGAAATCTGTGGATTTTCTGAGGACTTGCAGTTCCTACACAACTGTAGTCCTGGGGTTTCCAAATGATGGACCGTGGTCTGGATCTGCGTCCAAATGAAGTCTCATCTGGAACCAGATCGGTTGTTAATTTTAATTCAACGGTTTTTTTTAAATTTAAAGTAAATAATGTTTAGCAGTCCAGCATGTTGAAACTTGACGGTCTTTTTGCTGCTGCTCTCTGCGTGAACTCCGTGTCGCTTTGAGCTGCGACTGACAGAACGACACTCAACAGGAAGTCGCCAAAATGTCTCAAAACGTTCACCAGAGTTCTTTATTCCCTCCCATATTTCCTGCTCTTCTGGGAGGACTCCAAGGTGCTCCCAGACCAGCTGAGAGACGGTCCCTCCAGAGTGTCCTGGGTCTTCTCCTTCCAGGTGGACCTGTCCAGAACACCTCCCTATGGAGGCGTCCAGAGTCCATCCTAACCAGATGCCTGAACCACCTCAGCTGTCTCCTGGATGTGGAGGAGCAGCGGTTCTACTCTGAGCCTCTCCTGGAGAACTGAACTTCTCACCCCTATCTCTAAGGGAGAGCCCAGATGCCCTGTAGAGAAGGCTCAAATAGACCTCCTGGATCCAGGATCTGGTTATTTCAGCCTCTATTCAGAGTTCAGGACCACAGGTGAGGGTAGGAACATAGACTGACCAGTAAACGGATAGCTTCTCCTTACAGCTCAGCTCTCTTCACTACAAAGAAGCGGCACAGATTCTGCAGTACTGCAGAAGCTGCATTGATCTTTCTGAACAAAACTAGAGATACTTGAAGTCCTCCACCTGAGGCAGAACCTCACCCCGAGCCCAGAGAAGACGATCCACCCTCTGACTGAGGACCATGGTCTCAGATTTGGAGATGTGGAGTCCAACTCCCATCCTGAAGGGGTCTGACTATCTTCTGACAAAGTGAACCAAACTATTGAACCGTTTGTATCTGGACTGAATTACCCGTAGCATTGGACCTCCGGCCCACTACTCGCATAGCACCCCCACAGTGTACCTCGAGGAACACGGTGGAATGCCTTCTTCAAGTCCACAAAACACATGTAGACTGGATGGGCACACAACAACCATCAGAGCCCGTCCCTCACCCGAATGCGAAGGGAAGCCACCCTCTCATCTACTGGGGAAAACTCCCAACACACAGGCACCAAGTCGGGGGGGCAACAGAGTGGAATAAGGTTCAGCCCTTCTGAAGGAGATCGGTTCCAGAGTCCATGCTGTGCGTCGAGGTGAGCCCAACTTGGTACCTCTCAACCTCAGGCACAAGCTCAAGCTCCTTCCCCACCAGAGAGGTCACATGTCCCAAGAGCCAGCGTTGGTAAGCCAGGGTCAGAGCGCCAAGGCCCCGCCTTCAGGTACTGCCCATGCATCGGACCCGTATGGCCCCTAATGCAGGTGGTCTCGGTCTGAACGTTGGACAGAGTCTCCCAGAATGTCCTCGTCCCGTCGTCTTATTTCCCGTCACACGTGAAGCTGCTGCAGGCGGCTGTCCGAGCGTCGATCGTCGTTTCTCAGAGCTGAAATCTAAATCGAACACGGGACGCTCAGGTCTGTTAACTCAGTTTGAATTTTAAAGGAGCGAAAAGGGGAAATTGAATTAAAAAAAATATATATATTTTTTTTATTTAGTTATTTTTAATTATTTTATTTTACCAGGGAGAAATCCATTGAGATCATCAATCTCTTTTACAAGGAATTTCCTTTTTGGTGCGGGGCTAGTCCTAAATGACCTTTGAACACTGGGTTACCACATCCAAATCCAAGATGGCTGCCACCATTGAGGAAACTATTTTTCTAGTTTTTATTCTGCTTAAAAGTATATCAATCAACCTTTATTTATACAGGTAAATCCCATTGAGCCTCGAGGACTCATTTACAAGAGAGACCTGATTTCAACAAAGAAAGATGACAACAATGGACAACAGCAACAACAATAAGCAGTTATAAAAACTCATACTACAGTTTTTTTTTTTTTTTTTTTTTTTTTTTTTTAAAAAATAGGATGGCTAAAAGGAAAAAGGTAACAAAACCAAAAAAAAAACAAAAAAAAAACAAAAAAAAAAAAAAAACAACTTATACTTATAGTTTCCTCAAATGTTTGAGGAGGCTCAATATTTATCTATCGGGGACAAGGCCACCAGTGGCCACCCCCTGGCTCCTCCCTTGCTCCTGGCAGTGGAGGAAACGTCTCCCTCCACCCTCCAGGATCCTCCCTCTGTTCTTCTGCACTTGAGTATTTTTAATCAAAAACATTTAGGTTTACTTCATTCTCTGTTCAGTGATCCACCTGCTGCTGACAGGTGACGAGGAGCGTGTGTGTGTTCAGTCATTCGTTGTCGTCCTTTCATCTCATCGCTGTGATTTATCTGCAGCTCTTTTCGAACGAGGGAAGCTGAGGAGGAGGAGGAGGAGGAGGAGGAGGAGGAGGAGGAGGAGGAGCAGCAGCAGCAGCAGCAGAGGGAGATTATTCAGATGCCCCCTCCTCCTCTGGGTGTCAGAGCAGCGGCCGAGGGAGTGTGTGAATCCTCCTTTGTGTGTGAACGTTTGCTGACGTCTCCTCCGTGGTGCTTGGAAACGTCGCTGCTGCATCTTCCTCATCTTCATCATCCTCATCCTCCTCACAGGCTCTTCTTCTGTGCTCCCTGCATCCTCACACACACACACACACACACACACTCGACTGAGAGCTCCTCCTGAGTTTTTTCTCGTTGGATGTTTGTCCACCTGAGCAGCGGCAGCGAGGACGACTGCTGCTTTTGGCGCCATTTTCCTGGTCTTGTTGTCGTGACGACCGACGAGCTCGTCGCTCCGACGATGGAGGATTAACTCGCTCCTCTTTTGTCTGCTTGTTTTTTTTTAAATTTCCCGTTTGAGTCGCTGAACCCGAGCAAAGATTTCGTCTTTTAAACTGAAACCTTTTTTCCTCCTCACCGCGTCGTTCCTGTGAATTAAAAAAAACCTCTAGATTTTAATTTTATATTCAAAGTATTTTTTGTGGATTTAAAAGATAGAGCAGAAATCTTTTAGTTTTAACAAGAAACGCGTGAAATCATCTGAAGTTTGGGTTTTCCTTCGGTTGGAGTTCTTCGAGGAGCAGAAAACTCTGATTTGGAGAAAACATCTGGACCGGTGTGCGTTTGAGAGCGTCTCTCGGGAGGACGCGAGGACAGACGGAGACGATGCTGTGGTCTCCCAGGCTGTCTCTGTCCAACTTCCACGTGAAGCTGACGGCCAAAGGACTGTTCCGAAACCTTCAGCTGCTGCCGGGATGCAGGAAAAACACGGTGGTGTTTCACGCAGGTCTGGATCTTCCTCCTTCCACCCGTCATGACGTTTCAGACCTTCATCTCCGACCTCAGAGGTTCTATTACCCAGCATCCTCCTCTTCCTCCTGGTGCTCGGGATGAAGGCCTGAAACAGAAACAACTCTCTTCCTTCCCCATTGTAGACACACATGGCAGGGAGGGGCTGAAGCTGCCACGCCCAGAAACGCAATTTATCAGCGGTCCGGTGGTTCGAGTCCTGTTAAATATGGTTTTAATACGGGTGTGTCCGGATGAGCCCCGCCTGAGCTTTGTGCGTCAGATTTTCATATAAGAACTCCTCACCTTCCTCCCAGTCTTTGACCTTTTTCTGGCTGTTAAAACGGTAAAAGTGGTTTCTGACTGTCGTGCTGGAGGCTCCAAACCTCCTCGTCTTCCTCGCATGAGTCTGAGGCGCAGTCCTGTCGCTCAAACGGAGGACAAGTTGTCAACTTTCTGCAGCAGATTTTCTGTCAAAGCGTCGTTTCAGGTGTCTCCGATGAACTTTGACCTCTGCAGGAGCGACAGAAAGCTCCAAAAACTGACGGATGATAAATATTTAAAAACTATAAACCGGTCCAAACCTTCACGTCTAAAGGGGTCAGCTGGATTTGATCTCGGCACCCTTGAGATGAAGTCAGAAACGCGGACGGCCAAGAGTACAGTTTAGTTATGTGGCGTGACGCGAGCTCGAGCCGTGCACGAAAACCCTCTGCTCCAAACACTCGGTTCAGTCGGGCTGAATTTTAAAAATCAACATTTGATCTTTCTGCACGAGTGCCTCAGCCGTTGTGTGATGATGAATCATGAAACATGGCTGCCGGCTGTGATCACGTGACTCCTCACACAGAAACCAAGACTCCTCTGTAGCCGGGTTAGACGTATTCACGGGTCTTAGGATCCATGGGGTCTAAAGGAGTCCAGCGTCTCAGGATCCACGGCGCCGCCTCGTTTTAAAATCAGAGTCCGCTCAGATCTGTCCTCCTGGATTTAGATTTTGGAGTTTGTGGAAAGAACAAGTGTTTGTCAGAACTGAGCTCAGTGAGACCCAAACCCGTCAGAACCTCCTGCTGCCTCTTCCTGTAAAATTAATAAATGCTCAGAACCGTTTAGTGCAGGGCTATTCAATTGGAGGACTGCGGTCCATCCCACTTCATTAAAAAAATAAAATAAAATAACTTTTTTTTGTTTGTTTCTGGGTTCTTTTTATTGCATTTATGATTCAATGCGGTAAAACAAAGAAATTTAAAAGGTGACAGATCATTGTAAACTTTGGTCCGTTTGGGGTTTTAGTAGAAATCATGGCAGCTAATAACAAACACAGGATTTATTTATTTATGTATTTTTAATTGAATACAATAAAACAATGATGGCTTAACAGAAATAATCATGTTTTTAACGACCTTCTGAATAACCTTTATCGTTAAAAATCATTCACAGGAGAGAATTTCTGCCTAAAAACATTAAAGTGTGCACCACAGCTGGAGCACAGCTGGAGCATGCTGGGTAATGGGTAAAGTGTGCCTCCATCGTGTCTCAAAGCTGGCGGGCGACATGCGTTCCTTCAATCATTTTAGGCTTTTCATCTCTAAAACGTTTTTGTCAGAAGCTAAATGAGAAAATCTTGATCCAGTTCTGGACGTTTCTCTGTTTTCCAACAAGGATTGCTCTGAATCTTCCACGTGCGTCTCTAGATTAAACTGTCACAAATTATCAAATCTCCTGCTCGGCTTTAAATCCTCAGTAAATCCGGCTCCTCGGTGTGTTTTTGGCTCGCTGTGGTTCTGTGGTGAACATCCAGCAGCAGCTGGCGAGACGCTCCCTCTGAAAGTTCATCCAGCCGAGCTCAGCGGCACGTGTTCTGCTGCTCCGAGTTATCTGGCCTGGAAAGCTGCAGACCTACTGGCCTCAGCTGAAATGTAGGTTAGAGGCTTCAGTCAACATGCAGCAGAGCTTCGGCTGAGGCCGACCAATCAGGCTGCGGAGCTTCGGCTGAGGTCGACCAATCAGGCTGCGGAGCTTCGGCTGAGGTCGACCAATCAGGCTGCAGAGCTTCAGCTGTTCCTCCAGATGTGGGCAGATGAGTTTTGTTATTGATTTATAATCCAGCTGAAGGACTGAACGTGAAGATTCTTTAATGACTGCAGAACTAGGTGAAGATGTTCTTTGTGGAGATAAATCATTTCTATTTTAGCCACGAGTATAAACGTTGTAGACACGTCTGCTTCTCAGTTCAGAGGTTTAAATCCTGCTTTAGCCTCTTCTTACAAGTTTATCTGAAGGTGACGGAGTAAAAACATCATCACCTGTTCACTAATCAGAACCATCAGAACCTTGGGTCAGGAACAGGAAGTTCTGTCTGGCAGCAGAACATCAGGAGGTGAAGATCCACTAAAAGAACAAAACAGAATAAATCTTTAACTCTGAGGGTTTAGAGCAACAAACGTCCGACTCCTCAGGAAACGGAAATCTGACGTTTTGTTCTTCGTTTCTCTCGTTTTCTGGAAATCTTTTTCTTTTCTGCTTTTCTTTACGTCCTCGCTCTGGAGGAGAGAAACGAGGACGGAGAGGAAGTTGTTGAAGGGAAACGCTGGCGCTCAATGCCGAAGGGTCACGGAGCGCACGTATGAGCGCTCTGCACGCCTGTTTCCATGGTAACAGGTGGGTGAGACGATGCTCTCAGCAGTTGTGAGTCAGAGCAGCTTTCACTGCGACCTGAGCTACTTTCAGCTCTTGTTGCTTTGTTTCCTTTTTTAGCTGTAAACTTTAGTTTCAGCTGCTTTAATCTCAGCAGCCAATCAGCGTCCACGCTTAATTTTCACAGTGATTTATTACGGTTTGATTTGGATCAAAGATTTCCTGACTCCATCAGGTGAAGGTTGCTGGTTTACATCCTCTGCTGGCACACTTTCCCCGTCCTGTAAACACACATCCAGCTCTAATCTGGATTACGGTGTAAGGTTTAATCTGTCAGCGCCACGTGGCAGCACAGTAATCTCACGCCTCTCTGCTGCTGTACGGTTTCTTCTCAGAGGATTTGTGGGAGGTCCGTGTTAAATCTGATTAAATAAAGACTGACAACACGCTGGGATCTGATGTTTTGATTCTGCTCAGTGATGCGTTCAGTGGCGTGGGAATAATCCGACTCCAGGCTGTTTGGTAGGAGAACAAACTGAACTGGCTGGTTGCACAAAACGTTGTCAAAAACAGGAAGGGCCTCGTGTATTTCACGTGTCGCACAGTTGATTAATTTAGTTTCAAGCCTCACAGAAGAGTGTAAACAAACAAACAAAAACAATTGAACAACAACACTGAGACGTGAGAGAACAAGAACATTTCTGCAGAATGTTGAAGGCTCTGTTGCTCCATCATCCATCAGCTTCCTTCTCTAAAGTCCAACAGGAAGTTAGGACTTCCTTTAGTAATAATCTGAGCTGTTGTGGAAATGGACTCTTATTTTGTAGAGAATGTGGTTGCCATGGTGATTCCTGTCTTTATGGAGAGCCAAAAGCGGCAGGGCAGCACACGGCAGCCCTTCAGGCCAAAACACAGAGTAAAATGTAAGCCTCAGGTCGTTCTGATGGTACCACCGGTTCTGTTGGATGTTGGTGAGTTTTTAGTGAAGTTCGCGTCTGTCATACGACGCTCCGCTGCTAAAACTCAGAGCTCCCTGTTCCTGGTCGACACACGTGATGATTTTTATTTTTTGTAATTTTTTTTTCTATGGGAGGGTCGGTGAACTGAAAACTGTCTGAAACCAAATCAAACTGAATGAACACCCGGCGTTGCTGGTTCTGTTCTACATCAAACAGACGAGTCATGTGAGATCCAAAAATAAAATTTTAGATTTGTCTGAATGTCAAAAGTAGAAAATAATTACTGGATGCATTTAATTTCTTTACCTCATTAGAAAAATAAAGCAGAGTGTCGTCTGCATACGGATGGGTTTTCTTCTTGTGATAAGGGGTTACATTTGAAGAACAAAACGTTTGCAGTTGTTTTAGTTGGATATGATTATAGTAGTAGTTTGATTTGATATATCACAGTTTGAATCCTCGTAGTTTGAGTCCTCAGTTTTATTTCTCACAGTTTGACTCCTTTCAGCTTGTCTCCTCATACTTTGAGTCTTTGTACTTTGAGTCGTCATAGTTTTACTTCTCGTAGTTTGACTCCTTGTAGTTTGACTCCTCGCTGTTTGACTCCTTGCAGTTTGAGTCCTCGTAGTTTGAATCCTCGTAGTTTGAGTCATCAGTTTTATTTCTCAGTTTGACTCCTCATACTTTGAGTCCTCGTACTTTGAGTCATCATAGTTTTACTTCTTGTAGTTTGACTCCTTGCTGTTTGACTCCTCACAGTTTGACTCCTCATACTTTGAGTCCTCGTACTTTGAGTCGTCGTAGTTTTACTTCTCGTAGTTTGAGTCCTCGTAGTTTGATTCCTTGTTGTTTGACTCCTTGTAGTTTGACTCCTCTCAGCTTTACCTGCTGACCCTCCAGCTGAGTTAATCCCGCCCCCTCAGGCCGTGGTGAACACCTGGCGGATCTGCTTCCGATGCTTCATTCGGTCGATTCAAAATCATCTCCAGCTGCTTTAAAATCTCTGAATCATTCAGACCTCACCGCCGCCATCTTCACCAAAGTCGCCACGTATTCACACGGCCTGACGCAGGTCCTCATGACGACACAGGAAGTGTGTGTCTTTGTATGTCCATTGTGCAACTTGCACACTAACCGTGTGGTTTCTGTCTCAGTCTGGGCTCAGCAGCTCTGCCTTTCTGCCTGGCAGACTTCAGGTACAGACCACCACCTGCTCTCAGCACCACACCTTTCCACAGGACACACCTGCTCCAAAATACATTTAAATAATCTTTATCATAAAATATGTGTTAATGTTTATCATAAAATACGTTTGAGAAAACTAAACGAGTAGAAACCAGAAAAAGGAGCCGGGTCTCCAAAGTGTCCAACAGAAGACCAGTATCTGGAGCAGAACTGGACAGATCCGTTTGCGGTGTTCTGCTTCAGACAAACCACCAGACGGTTCTGCTCAGCAGAACTGGACCTGGACTCGGTCTGAAGACACCGAGGGGACGATCAGACACTTTAATTCAGTGGATTTAAAAAAGTTGAATTAAAAGAACTAAAACAGGCCTCTGAGACTTTAAAGGCTCAAAATACAACAAACATTTCAGCAAAATTTATGAAATATTGATCAAATTATTACTGAATATTAATTATTATTATTATTAATTATCAATATGATAATTATTACATATTTTAATGTTTATAATCTGTTGTGTTTTTTGTTTTTTCTCACAACTGGAAGCACAAACAGCTGATTCTCCTCCTGACGCAGAAACGATGATCAATGACCAGAAAAATATCAGAAACTCTAGTGATCGATATCGGATCAGTAATCGGATCTAAGCCGGGTCAGAGGCTTTTGTTTCCATGAGTCTGAGTGGAGAGCGAACAGAACCGCTGGAGTTCTGACCTCTAATGGGTCCTCCTGCAGCTAATGGATCCTTAATGTCCACCAGGGTCCAACCATCCATTATCCCCTCACTTTCCCATGATGCATCTGTGACACTGAAGGGCGTGTTTTACTGGATCAGACGGTTCTGATCCTGTTGTCGCTCTGATGTTTGGGTCAGAGGCGTCATGCTGAATGCTATTCCTGCAGCTCGGACGCTAACGGGTCGCCGCTCTCTTTCAGTGGACAAGAACAAGCCCAGAGAGGGTCCGCCCCGGCCCAGCAGCACCAGCAGAACCAGCTCCCAGAGCACAGCGGGAAACCAGCAGAACCAGCAGCTTCAGCCGGCTGAACTGGTACGTCCCGTTCCATTGGGGTTTAAAATTAGGCTTCAATCAGCAGAACTTCTATAGAACCAGAGCTGAGCGGAAGCTGATGGTGGAAAGTCTTCAAACACAAATTTTAAATACAAACAGAATTTATGTTTTGTTTTTCTGCTTCAGATATGAACTGTGTGCGGTTCTGTTCTGTTTGGGTCCATCTGAGAACTGAACCAACAGAACTGTTATGTCAAACTCAGCTGTTCTGTCTTGTTTCAATCAGGGTCCAGAGGTTCTGAACACCAGCAGCCCAGCGACAGCAGCTCCCACAGTTCCAGCCCCCGATGCTGCCAGCACAACATCCGGGCCCAGTGGACCTGCCGGTTCTAGGTTCAAGGCTAGAACTGGGTCACGATCCAGCCCTAGAACCGGGCTCCGTCCTCAGAATGCTTCCCGACCCGGAGCAGGCAGGACTGCATCTTTGGAGGAGCCGGTTCCAGCCAAACAAAACCAGAACAAAGAGCAAGTGGAGAAGAAGAATCAGGCCTTGGTCCAGCTGAGGAGGCTCCTGGTCCAGGGGAACCAGAAGGTGGAGGCTCTGGCTACTGTGGTCCAGCATCTCCTCACTCAGGTACTCCACACCGGTTCGGTCCGGTTCTTTAAACATTACTTTGGAAATGGGCTGGTACAAGAACTGGACCGAAGCTGAAAGAAAATCCGCTAAAGTCCAAAAATAGACTCTGAAAGACCTGTACATCTGCAGAACTGCTGATCCAGAACCACAGAACAGGACCGTCTGGGTCATTGACAGAAAATGAAGACTGGATCAGGAGTTCTGGGTCAGAACCTTTGAACAGAACTGCGGTCAGTTAAAAGTGAGATAATGTTACATTTGTTTTCTCTCTACGGTTCCTCTAGTGGTTCTCAACCTTTGGGTCGGGGTCCAGCTATGGGTCACAAAATGTCAAGTTTTGAGTCTTGAGATGATTCAGAAACAAAAAAAGTGTAAAAATGGTTGTTTGTAACTTTCTACTGCAATGTAAACGGACTTCTTCACGGGTCTGCGTTCACCGGTCTTTGGTCTCTGCGTTCACCGGTCTCTGGTCTCTGCGTTCTCTGGTCTCTGCGTTCACCGTTCTTTGGTCTCTGCGTTCACCGTTCTTTGGTCTCTGTGTTCACCGGTCTTTGATCTCTGCATTCACCGGTCTTTGGTCTCTGCGTTCACCGTTCTCTGGTCTCTGCGTTCATCGTTCTCTGGTCTCTGCGTTCACCGGTCTTTGGTCTCTGCGTTCTCT